ATTAGCTATAAACTCTGAAAGGATTCTCCCCACACTGAACCCTAACTCCCAAGCCAGCCAGTCACAACACCGTGAATTCCTCAGGGAGGTGCCAGCCTCATCCTCTTGCACTTCCCACGCTCTTCGGGTAAACTAAGAATGCGCTTATCTCCCTGAGCCTGGCCTTCATAATTCCATTCCATCACATCTGGAGATCCTCCAGAAGTTGCTAGTTACAATTATTTAATTAAAAATGTGATAATTTTGATAAATAAATTAGAAGTAATAATACTAATTCTATTTAATTTAAATAGAAATTTGGTCTTTATCTTGGGTCCACATGTTTACTTCCTGATATACATCCTTCTTACGTACCAAAGGACTAGCGCAGCACTCTCTTGAATAATACATCTAAATAAAAAGAATTCTTCTGTACAATAGAATACATACTTTATGTTTTTGTGTTCTTATGTTCACAACTCTGTGGAGGCTGTTGCCTTTGTGTATTCACTCTCCTTATTACAGTTTGGAAATTGAAAGAATGCCATAGGTTTTAACTCTCTCGTTCCTTCTGTGCACTAATTTATCCCTCTTTTTCTTAATGGGACATTGTCTATAGTTAATGCTATCTCTGGTTATGCTAATCAAATTATCCACATTACCAGAATTTGCAAACCATATTTCAGTACCTTGTTTCATATATATTTTATTGATCAGTATTATTGCTAATGCAGGTATGCTGCCCCATGGTTTATATCAGGAACTTAACGTCTATATTTCATCAGTTAGAACTAAACTCAGTAGAATTGACCTGCTGGATCAAATCAAAATTTATCATTCAGTCCATAATAGTGGCCACAGAGGTTCTCCTGAGACATTTATAACATATCCTTTATAATCAGGGTATATGATCTGTTGATTTAGAAGCCATTTAGTAATTCATAGATAGCTTCTGTGAATATATCAATTAAAAAAAAGATTTGATAGCAGCTATCCGAAGATATGCTTGCAGTATATTCAATCTATTAATCCTGTGATATGGAGCTTTGCTGATTTTTGTTTTATTGGATAAATTAAATTTTACTTTGTTACACAAGTAGAAAATTTATTTCTTATAGCATTTCTTTTTATAAATCTCTATCATGTTCATTTTGGGTAGTTGTGTTTTGTAATTGAAACCATATCAGTTCAAGAATTTTTATATCAAAGTACCTGATAGTGTACCTAGGAAAAAAAGAGACATAAGTATTCCACAGTACCTTCCTTCCCTTACATCTTTTCCCTTAATTTGGTATATTATTAAAGGAGTAAAACATTTCTGCTGGGAATATATCCTAGCTATTCAACAACAGGTGATTGAAATATATGAAATCTGTGAACAAGCAAAGCTAATTTTGGCAGTCTGCTGTGATAAAATGTGAAATGTATTAATAATTCTTAGTAATTTTTTAAACCTCTGTTTTATATGATACAGATGGAGAACCAAATCTGGCTTAGGAGTCATACTCGTATATAACTTGTAGGTGAATTATGTTGAATAACTGTTTTAGGTAAAGTCCACCCCTAAGTCCTGCCATCCCCTGATCTGCCATTCTCTATGCAGAAAGGAGTGAACATTCTTTGTAATCATCTTTACTGATAAAGGCAGTCTTTTGTTAATGCAGGAGAACAGTGAGTAATTGTTCTCTGACTTCTGCAAGGAGATAGACCCCTCAGTACTCAGAAAGGTTGTAATATGTTTCTGAGTTATAAATTGGAGAAGTGGAGAGGAATAAGCCAGAAGAGAAGGAATAGGTAGGTTAGATGAGTAATCTCCAGAAATGGGATTTCTCCATGCATGATCTATTGATCTATTGAACTAAATCAGTGCAGTCATGTATATAAATTTTGCTAGGTAAGTGAGAGTAGTACAAAAGTTTCAACCCATTCATTTGGGGAAAAGAATTTTGTTTAAGAATTATTTGCTCAAGAATTATTATTAATGATAATACTTTGAACTCACTTATCTACTTAGCTTAGCTAAAGGTAAAAACCAAAAAGACAAAAACTTTAATCATGATTTTTCATTCACTGGCAGTTTTTTCTGCTGTCTCATTTGTTACCTCCTTCTGCATTTCTCATTCCTGAAGGCATCAGATCTTAGGGAAATTAATAAATTATCCATCTATCTATATTATTGTCTGTACAGGCAATGCCAATGGTTGTTTAAAGACACTATACTGTTGCTCTCCATAAATATTAAAGTGACTACAAGGGAAGAAGTGGTGTCTATAACTTTTTTTAATTTGAAGCATCCTATTAGGAGTCCCAAACAGCTGATCTGAGTAGATGTGTTATGATGGCATTCTGATCAACCCAGAAGAATACTAAACTTGAAACAGTCAACCCTGTTTTGAGCTCAAAACACTTCTGGAATGATCAGAACATCAGACATTTCCAATAAGGTAAGACTAGCTCATTTGAAGATGACCTTCAAACATCTGTTTCTGGATGGACCCATTACATATTAGAAATGTTTTGCAGAAAAAGGAAGATGAGATACCACAAAAGAAGCTGTTGCTGGTCAAGTTTTTCCCCTTTTCCTAGTCCATTTAATGAAAGTATCTATCATATTTGAAACTAATTTTAATGAAAACATCTTTCAGTGACTCAAAATGTGCCAAATAAGCATCAATCTGCTATATAACTGGTAAGACCTGCTGTATACTTTCTGGAAGAGCAATGCGCTTGCAAATTTAATGTAGTGCCAAGAAGTACTATTGCATCATTTTCAGTTGAAGTCTCTGATGGTGTATTTTGTTTTATACAGCAAATCAAACCAAATGGAGACAAAATGTGTCGGGAAATAAATGGTCATTACTAAAACTAGATTTTTTTGAATATCTTGTTTATTTGGATCATCAACTATAAGAATAATCTTTTATTAGTTCATATACTTAAGCAGCAAAACATTTCAAATATTGTTTCCAATGCCTGGTTTCTGCGTAGCAAAATTGACAGTTAAATAATTTATATGTCATTTGGGGAAAACTAAAGGTTTATGATTTAATGTCAAGAACCAAAGCAGATAAGAGCTTTCCAAATAATCACTCAAAAACGTGACTTCCATGATCAGATATTAATGCATGGGTACTTTCATTCTGTAACAGTGTTGCATGATTACATGTTAAAATAGCTCCTCTCCAGGGTTACTCTTTTGCTTGAGTATAGTGTTGTTTATTCCTGAAATAACTATAAAATGCTAGTGCATTGTTTGAGAAGTAAAAATACATCATAAAAAGAGCTTGATAAAAGATAAAAATTTAGCACCTTTCTACTATATCACTTTCAGTACAGCTTGTACAACAATTTGCAGAACAGTTGTAGTATATATATTCAAAATTCTTTGTAATACATTGAAATAAATAGTAAAAATACTGTGGGATTCACATATATGTAATATGGAAATAACACAGTTAAAGTCTGAATTAAATAAGCACAATTGTATAATTGACACAGTTGTTGAAACACTCATATGTTTTTATTTGCATGTTCTTTCTTAGTTTTATTTGCATGTTCTTAACAGATTTTATCCTCTTTTAAGAAATATTCACTACTAATATTTCTGTATTATAAAAATACTGAATATTCTTATGTTTTCTTTTCAGATTGCACTGTAAAATTTTGGAAGTTAAAGCACCAGTACATCAGAATGGAATGGCCAATGGCCATGCCAAAGGGGTTGATGGTGTCACCATTATCATTAGCGATAGTGATGATTCAGATTTAGATACCAGTTCTGCACAAATTGGGTAAAGAATTATTTTATATTTGGATAATATGAACATAGTTTAAAAGGCTACAATTAAACTACAATAACCGCTTAATTTTTGTTATAAAACTTCTTCACACAACTCTATACAAATATTTTGCCTATAGATCACAACATTTCAAAAGAATTTTTAAAATTAGTATTCAAAAGCTAAAAAACACAACATGCAAAATAATATATATTACAAATACTAAAAACCCCAAACTCCAAATGAAAAAAATGGGGGGAAAAAACCTCAAATAAACATACATTTATACACACATACACTACACATATACAGACAACTTGGTTTTTAAACCTACTAAACTTTGTCCATATGGAATCATCTTCATCATCTTTCTATTTTGTCAATAAAAAAAACAGTTTAAAAACAAAAAACACATATCTTCAATCCAGGATTTAATGTCTAGGTTAGTAGTTTCTAGCAAAGCAATACCATTTTTTTTTGCCTGTGCTTCAACTTGATAAATCCAAAGATTTTCATAAGTTGATACATTTAAAGTTGTCACTATTTTATTTATGATCTCTGCAATTTATCTACAACGTGAAATTAGCTGTACTCCAGGCAGCTTATAGAATTTACAGTATCAAGCACCTACAAAATCAATTATAAATTCATCCATCCATCCATCCATCCATCCATCCATCCATCCATCCATTCATTCAATTTCAACAT